AAATGATAGATTAACGCAAGCCACGCATCATGTACAATAATAAGAGATTATAAAAACAAAGGATAGATTAACAATAACCACGTATCATGTACACTAATCTCAGATTATGAAAACATATGACAAATTAACACTTTCCACGTATAATGTATAATAATCTAAGATGACGAAAACAAACGATGGATTAACACTAGCAATGTAACATGTAAAAAATGTGAGATTATCAAAAGAAATGATAGATTAAGATTAGCCATGTATCATGTACAATTATGTGAGATTATGAAAACAAATCATAGATTAACATTAGCAATGTAACATGTACAAAAATGGAGATTATGAAAAGAAATGATAGATTAACACTAGCCACGTATCATGTACAATTATGTAAGACTATGAAAACAAATGATAGATTAACACTTGCCACATATCATGTACAATTATGTAAGATTATGAAAACAAATGATAGATTAATATTATCCATGTATAATTTTAAAAATGTGAATACAAATTATAGATTAACACTAGCTACGAAACATGTACAATAATCTAAGATTATGAAAAGAAATGATAGATTAACACTTGCCACGTATCATTTAGAATTATGTGAGATTATGAAACCAACTGATAGATTAACACTAACCGCGTATCATGTAAAATAATGTGAGATTATGAAAATAAATTATAGATTAACACTAGCTACGTATCATGTACAATTATGTGAGATCATGAAAACAAATGATAGATTATCAATAACCACGTATCATGCACAATAATCTCAGATTATGAAACATGACAAATTAACACTTTCCACGTATAATGTATAATAATCTAAGATGGCGAAAACAAACGATAGATCAACACTAACCACGTATCATGTACAAAAACGTAAGATTATGAAAAGAAATGATAGATTAACACTAGCCACGTATCATGTACAATTATGTAAGATTATTAAAACAAGTGATATATGAAGACTAGCCACGTATCATGTACAAAAAGGTGAGATCATGAAAACAAATGTTAAATTAACACAGCCACGTATCATGTACAAAATGTGAGATTATTTAAACAAATGATAGATTAACAACAACCACGAATCATGTACAAAAATGTAAGATTATGAAAAGAAATGATAT